CAGGGCAGGAGAGCCCAGCTCCAAGGAGGGGGAGGAGTATGGGTAGCCAGGCTGGGACAGCACCCCCCAGCAGGCAGGAGAGGGAGGCCGCCACAGACACAGATCTCCACTGCACCCCCAGGGACCATGGGGCTGAGTTCCCTCCCCTCACCCTGGGCCCCTTACACCCTTCAACCCTCTCTCCAACCCCAACCTGAAACCTGGGTGCTGACCTGGCTCGGGTTCCCAGGCAGAGAGCATGTGGCACCAGACCGGCCTCACAGGGTGGGCCCTTGCACTCGCCCAGTGTGGGCAGGGTGAGGGGGCCTGCCAGGAAAGTTCTCCAGGACAGCAGCCCTCTCGCTAGTACTCCTTGGCCTCCTGCAGCTGGGCCAGGTACTCTTCCTCAGGAGGGTTGTCAGCGCAGGCCCGGCCATTGTTGGGCGGCCGCACAGCATGGTAGCGGCTCCAGTCCCCCTTACACAGGATCCAGGGCAGCGTGTCCACCTTGAAGTGCAGCTCGGGTGAGAAGTCCGTGCTGATGAGGTCAGGCGCACCGGCGCCCTTGCCTCGTGTCAGTAGCCGGCTGCCCGAGTCATAGCAGCAGTGTTGGGCGGCCAGCGTGCTGCTCTCCCCGGACAGCAGGGAGCGAAGGCAGAAGCGTGCCGTGGGCTGGTAGACATCCAGTCGCTCTCTCGGGCCACTGGCATCCTTCCACTGGAAGCTGCGGCCCCGGTGCTCGTCCTGCAGGCTCACGGCCCTGTACACAGCCTCCAGCGGGTATGCACACGGGCAGCTGGGCAGGTCCTGCAGCACCTGGCTCAGGTACTTGGTTAGGAAGTCGCTCTTGCAGTTCAGCCACTTCTCACAGCTGTCCACATCTACAGAGGGCAGAGAAGTTGGGCGGGGGCTGACCAGTCAGGCCTTTGTGGGGGCTGATCAAGGGCCAATGCATAGAGAAAGAAGTCCCAGGACCCAGCTGGTGCAAAGGTGTGGCTTGGTAGGGCCTGAGGGGCAGGAGTGGAAGGACCCATACCAGAGCTGGGGGCAGTCTGACCTGACCTCCACTGCTGACAGCCAGGGGCTCACATAAAACACCCAGGCAACCTAATGCAAGAGGCCATGATTCAGAATAGAAACGGGCCAAGGGGCTGTGGGAGGAGCCTGGAGGCCCTCTGCTGTGCCAGGTGTTGTTCCTGTAGATGCTGGATGGTGGGAAAGATCCTGGGATCCTGGGGGAGGAGCTGGGGTAGTGAGGGCAGGAAGAGCAATTTTAACCAATTAGTAAGAAACTGTTTCAATATTTTACCTACTGGCTCATCTTGTTCTTAACTCCGCCTTTCTCAGGCCATATGACCTTGGGTGAGTCTCTGCGACTCTGGGCCCCCGGGGTCTACTCTGTCTATGCTGCCCTCCCCCATCTCTCTACCTTGTGAAATGTGGCTTCTGACACTTGCCACACAAAACGAGTTGCTCCTTCCTCTTTGCTCCAGACCTTTTGGACACACTGCAGTGCAGCGCTCAAGTTGATCATGTGTCTCTCCCTCATAAGACCTGAGCTCCTTGAAGGCAGGTACTGGGCCTTCGTCTTCTGGTACACAGGCCAGGTGCACAACGAGCTTCTGTGGTGTAGAGCATGAGGCTCACCTGCAAGGGGGTGCTGTTGGTGGCCACCTGCCTCCTTGCAAGGCACAGGTAAGACTAGTGACACAGACACTGAGTATACTGATATAAGCACAGTCTGCTCCAATCTGCTGGAAGGAGTGGTCCCGGAGTTCTGAACCCTGACCCATTTCTGACAGCACCCTCTCCCCAGACAGAGCCTGCCTGCCCAAGAATCTCCAAGGGTGACCTAGGAATTGAAGCCAGAATGTCCCCAGCCCATCTTGCTGCCAGAGAGACTATGCCCCACCTTCAAGCTCTGTGGCTCCCATCAAGAACTTCCCAGCAAGAATATCAGCCTGGGAGAGGCCAATGGGCCTGTCTAGAGGGGCTGAGAAGTGCTAGGGCCCCTTTGCTGGGAAGGCTAACCTTCCAGCTGGAAGATGTACTCTCTGCCTCAATGGATGGAGGCAAGATTCCTGCCCTGCAGTGATGCTCTATCCTCCCGAGAGGGGTTCTTCCCCACATCCCCGGGGCAGGACCTAGCCCCCACTGACCTGGGCCGAGCATGTCCATAGCATTGTGGCCTAGGGGCTGCCACCCCTCACTGGGAAAGCCCAAGGGGTCCTCGTCCTTGGCGCCTTTGGGAAGAGAGGAGGCCAGGCCGGTGGTGCACCAGGGCACCTCTGTGCTCCTGATGGGAAGCCCAGCCCTCACTCGGCTCTCGGTGCCCATAGCATCTGGGGTGGGCCTGGGATGAGGCAGGAGCACTATGTCTGTGGGCTTCTTGCCTCCCTTCTCCCAAGTCCACTCCTCGTACAAGGTTCACATGCCCACATTCCCAGGGGACCAAGCCCGGAGCATAAGCCACTTCTTATGCAGGAGCTGCTGCTCATCTCACCAGGACAGGGGGACAGGTCGCAGGCACTGGACTCGGTGGCAGTGCAGGCGTAGCCACGGGGCCGAGTCCTCTGCTGGCTGCCGCTGCCGCAGCTCGCACTGCAAGGAGACCAGGGGCTCCACTCCTCTTGAACCTCATAGTCTGGGTCAAGGCAGGGAGCCAGGGGTGAGTGAGCACAGCCCACAGGGTGCATTGGCACAAATTAGCAAAAGGCACTCCTTCCTCAGGAGGATGCAGCCAGTGCCAGGACTCCTCGCCTAGTAGACAGAGCAGTGGCTGGATTTCAGTCCCTGCTCGTCCCCTGAGCTGGGTACTCTTGTTCAGTGAACACCTGTGCAAATGTAGGAGGTGGCCCTATAGAGACAGCACACCTCCCAGCCACCGGCTATATGCCAACACAGCAATGACGAGGAAAAAATATTTGGGCTGGAGGCCACCTGACCACTGTCAATGTGACCTTGGGAAAGTCCCTCTCCATCTCTGAGCTGTAGTTTTTATGTCGATCAAAATTCAAGATGATAATACTTCCCTGACACTGGGAGTATTAAAGAATGTTCCTGCTGCCCATGTTAGGGACCATCCTGGTAAGGGACCTGAAATACACCAAGGCTGTACCCACAGCCATCTGTCTGTGCAGGGCCTGAGACCCAGGGCTCTCTGTGGAACCCCACAAAATATTGACATAGCCAGTTAGGTACTCTCCTCACTTCCCAGGCAGGCCTGAGCAGACTGGCACCAAGAGTTTAAGGAAAATTAATAGAAGAGAACTGAAAGTCATGAAAAGTCTGCCTGTTAGTTTATGATTATGGCGAATTGGGAAAAGCCTGCTACGACTTACTCTTCATCACAGACACCTCTGTCCAGTAACGAAACAGCAGGACTCTGGGGAGAATGGCTGCATATACACATCAAATGGTCTGCCCCCTTGCCCACAGAAAACCCCGAACTGCTATGCAAAAATAAAAATGGCTGTCAGGGGGTCTGGCAGGCTTTGGGTGATATTTTCTGAACAGATTGTATTATTATGTTGTTTCTTTTTTATTATTATTATTTTTTATTTTTATTTTTATTTATTTATTTTGTAGGTGAGACAACCCTTGGTTGACCTCACAGATTGCAAGGACCTTGTCAGCTTACAATCCCTTATTTTTTAATTTTTTATTTTCTACGTCTACAGTCTTCAATCTGGTCTTCCTAGATTGGTCTCCCATCCAAGTACTAACCAGGCCCGACCCTATTTAGCTTCTGAGATCAGACAGGATTGGGCTTGTTCAGGGTGGCATGGCTGTAGACATTATGTTGCTTCTTCATAAAAATAGCCAGTACCTTGTTTACTCTATGCTGGCACTTTAAATGTATTAACTGACTTAATACCCTCTACACCCAATCCTATGTAGTAAAGCTTGTGCCATTCTCCACTTTATGGAGGAAGGAACTGAAGCACAGAGAGGTTATGTAACTTGCCCAAGGTCACTCAGCTGGTAAGTGGCAAAGCCAGGATGCAAACCCTGTATGCAATACAGTATGCAAATGAGGTCAGTTTTGAGTGGTGGAATTTATAGTATTTCCCAGTTTGTTGGAAACTGATAGATATGAATATGTATAACACTGACAAATGTCTGTCTTGCTTAAGGGATCTCAGGGCTGTTGTCAGGGTCAAATGTTTAGGGGTAAAAAAATTTGCAAGCTCTGGGTGACACTACTCTTTAGCCGATGATGGTATTTGTACAGACTAAGCTCCTGGGGCCCCCTTCCTCCAGCTGCCCCTGCCCAGGAGGCTTTCAGTCCTCTCTCCACCCCATTTCCACTCAGGCACTCAGGATCTCGAGGGGCAGCAGCCAGGAATACCACGATGGGGGTGCTCACCATAGCTGTCCGACTCCTTGAAGGCCCAGTCCCTGGGGGCCAGCCAGCCCTGCTCCCAGCCGCCTGTGTTCCCACTGAACCCAGGCTCCTCGTCCTCCTCGTCCTCATCGTTGCCCTCCTGGTCTTCACTCTCGCCATGCTCTTCAGGGTAGTCCTCCTCCTCCTCCTCCACCTCCTCTTCCTCTTCCCCAGGGACTCTGCCCTTGAGACTGGCCCCTGCCTCCTCACCCTCCAGGTAGCCCCAGAAGAGGGGCCAGAAGAGCTCCTTGGCAGGCAGCCAGGTGGGGGCACCCTGGGACCAGCGATTGCTGGGCTCGGCCAACAGGTCCATTTCCACCTCGGCCTGGGGGTCCTCTACCACCTCGATTGTCACCTGCAGGGAGACAGACACCAGGCCAGCCAGTGAGGAAGGGCTCAGAGCTAGACTCCAAGGCGAGGGGAGATGACAAGGGCAGGAGAGAGAGACCCAGCCCCTCCACCAAACCGGCTCATTCTCTTGGCCAATGTTTTCAGCCTCCCAGGGCACTTGGGGTCACAACTTAAGACCTGGCTGAGCATCAGAATCCCCTGGATATTCCTAACCCCGAAGCACACCTCAGTCAAGGATTAAACTGATTGTAGGTGGGGCCAGGCACGGTGGCTCTAACATGTACCAGGGTGGAGACCCACTAGTTTAAAGGGAAGCTGGCTTTGAATTCTGGCTGTGCCAGCCTGTAGCTGCTCAGCCTCAGGGGCCACTAAGAGCCCCGGGCCTCCATTTACTCCTTGTAGGGCCAGAAAACAAGAGCAGACAGCAAATCCCCACAGCAGCTCTGGAAGGTGGTGGGGGAGGTTCCCTGTCACCACATGGTGGACGGGAAATAAGAAACCTGAAGTCGTTATGTGAAAGTGAATTTAAAAACATCATTTGGGGTTATTATAAAGTAATATGAGGTCACTGAACAAAATCTGGGGTACAAAAACAGCAAAATATAAAGAAGCGAAGGAACATCACCCATATTCCACCACGGGTGTAATATTTTGGTGATTAACTTCCCAGGTAGATACAGATGCACATACATAAACATACACTTTCAAACAATTTTAGTTATGTTCTACATGATCTCTTTTGGTGAAAGTGTTTTGTAAACTGTAGAACTCTATACAAGACTGCAGAATTATTGCCATTAGGGATTTAGGGCTGGAAGCAGAATAGGTAAACTGGAATTCCACAGCCCCTCTAGGTTTCTCACCTACAGAGCCCCTCTGGTGGGCAGCCCCCACCCCACCAGCCCACTCAGCATTCAACCCCTTCTCTAGTACGGGGTTGGGCCTGGGCAGGATCAGATCTTCAGGCTTTTCCACAAGGCCTCCCCCGATATTCCTAGAATCCCCTGCAGCTCAAGTGCTCTCTGATCATTTGGTCCTCAGACAGCCCTGCCAGGTTGGTGCTGTCTGTCCCTTGCTATGGACTAGGAGTCCCGTGAGTTGTTCACGGTCTGAAGCCTGAGAGTGGAGGAGCAGTTCCTGTCCGCACGACTCCACAGGACAGCATGGGGACTTCTCCAACCCCATAAGGACCCAGCCCCCAGGGAATACGGGGTGGGATCCCTGACCTCAGAGCTGAGCCATTCAGCCCAGCTTGTTTCCAGGTATCTGCTGGGCCCAAAGCCCTTCTGTAGCTCTCACCTGGATATTGGGGTTCGGGGAACTCAAGTCTGTGTTGGCCAATCCTGGCAGCTTCTGCAGCTCCAGCAGCAAGGGAGTGTCTTCCTGGATCCCAGGAGGGGCTGCCTTTTCTGGGGTCAGAGCTGCTGGCTCGGTGAGAGCCCAGTGCTCGTGTTGGCCTGGCCCTGGCCGGAGGCGGATTCTGGGGAGCAGTGGTGTCTCCTCCGTTCCCCTGGGAGAGCTGGCATCTGGGAAGGCTGAGACCTAAGGGTGAGACAGGGTGAGGGATGCGTGACTAAGGTTAGGGCTCGCCCCATGTGGACCCCAAAAGGCTGGTCAGGGGGAACTCAGAAGCCCAGGAGTCTGATCAGATTACAAACTCACCCTGTGGCTGTATATCCAAACATGGCAGATTTAATGCCTTAGAGGCTAAGTGAGGCTGTGTCCACAAAGCACTTGAACAAATGATGCCAACATGAGGCATGAGAAAATAGTTAAAATCAGGTTTCTACACATGGAAGAAACACAGTCCAACCTCCTCATTTTACAGATGAAGAAAGTGAGGCCCAGAGAGGGAAGCCAGTTGTTTGAGGCAGTGGTTTCGAAGTGCAGTTTGCAGGCCACCTGCCTCAGAATCCCCCAGGGCTGCTGTGAGAACAGACAAGTCAGGGCAGGAAGCCCTGGGAACCCTACAGCAGCGTGGGCAGCAGGCCTGGGCCTTCCCCTCAGCATGCTCCTCTGACCACAGCTACCTCTCTCCTCCTGCCCACCTGGTGCCTGGCCCCTTGTCCTGTTCCAGGCCACTCACATGGCTCTCGGTCTGCCAGCTGATTCCCTCCACTGGCCAGTACCCATGCGTCCACACCAGGACCACCCTTCCTTCAGCACAGATAGTAAGCGAAAGGCAGATCCTGGTTGTTTCTGACTCTTGCTCCAGGGTTCATCTGCTCAGACGGTGGGGCACAGGGGGCTCAGTGCTGTCCACCCACCTCCAGGCTGCAGCCACTGCCCAGGTCTCCGTGCCAAGGCAGAAAGAGCACAGTCCAGAGCTACCTTCAGGGGCCAGAAGCCTATGAACCCTGCCCCACCCTTAACCCCACCCCTATCTCATAACTGGGGCAGTATGGTATGGCTGAAAAAATGTGGGTTCTGGAGAGTCAGATCAGCTTGGGTTCAAATCCCGGCTCTGCTCTTTCTAGTTCATTCAACTTGATCAGCAAAATTAGGATAATAATTCCTACCTGGGAGGATTGTCAGAATTTTTTTTCATTGAATATTTCCACTGTGTGCCAAACACTATCCTGAACATTTAATCACTCATTTAATACGTCCAACAACCCTCAGATGTAGGTACTAGCTGTCATCCCCATTTTGACAATGGAAACTGAAGCACAGAGAGGTCAAGTAACGTACCTGAGGTCACACAGACAGTTAGTGGTAGAGCCAGAATTTGAACCAGGCAGCCTGGGCCAAGAGCCCACGCTCTTAACCATCATGGCCTAACACTACAGGTGGGAGCACCGAGAATCCCCTTCACAAGTCAGGGGCTTACTTGGTCCAGTTTCTCATTCCGATTCTCATTTGTTGGGTTGGAAAAGAGATTCAGAATCTGCTGTCTCTCCTTTTTGATCTCTCCTTTTGTGGTCCCCAAATGAATGGCTCCAAGGCTCTTGCACTAGTCACTTGGTCCCATGGCAGCCATGTCCCCATCCCGGCCTCGCCCGGGAGTCCCTTGCTGAGACAGTGTGCTCTGGTCTAGACAGCCAGGGCATGTGGGCAGAGGATGGACAGATGAGTAATGGAACCACTCGAGTCCCTCACTGACCGGGCCTGGAGGCCTGGAACATCCCCACACGTTGCATTCCTGGCAGTTTCCACTCACATGTCCCCCAGAGCCCTAACTGTCCCTGTGACTTTGCTCAGAGGTTCCTCTGTCTGCAGCCCCTGGGGCACAGAGACAGGCAGGCTTAAGGCAGCAGGAGTTCAAGGTCATGCAGCCTTTCTGGCTAATCTAGATGCCCCTGCCTCCTGGGCAGCTAGTTAAGCAGTGGTTCTCACCCAGGGACATTTGGCAATGTCTGGAGACATCTCTGGTTGTCTACTGGAACCTAGTGGGTAGAGTCAGAGATCCTACAACGCATAGGACAGTTCTCACAAGAATTATCCAGCCCAATATGTGAACAGAGCTGCAGTTAAGAAACCCTGCTCCAGAATCAGGCTGCCTGGGTCTGAATCCTGGTGGCGGCCAGCATCTGACCTCTGGGACCCTGGCAGGGGACATCCTCTGTGAACATCCTTACCTATAAGATTGGAACTGTGATGGGCAAGAGCTGGTATCCAGTGAGTGCTGAGAACTTTCCTTTCCAGCTCTCTCTACCCTCTCCACTCCCTGGTGCCCGGTTGGACCAGACAACGAATGAACAAAAGCCATAGAAAGCCCTGATTAAACATCACAGCCATACATACGTGAGGTCTCAAAGGTTATGACATCCAAGCTCAGGTTCAAACTCAGCTCTGCCTGATCTCAACTACATCTATTGGTGCATACACACGTGCATGAACAGACGCTCATGATGATAACCCCTCGTGTGCAAACACTTTTGCATTCACAAAGCACACCCACTTCCATCGCCTTGTCTGGCAGCAAAATGCAGTGGTAATGAGTGCAGGCTGGAAGCCCTAGCACCTGGGTTCAAAGCCCAATTTGTACACTTACGAGCTGTATGACCTTACTTACTTAATCTGCCTGAGTTTCTCCCTCTGTAAATTAGGAAATGGCAGTCCCTGTCTTGTAGGGTTTTTGAGTTAAAATGGAGCCTCGAATATGGCAAGCAGGCAATGAATGTCACTTTGACATGGCAATAGGTGGTTCTTCGAGGAGAGAGAAATGAGAGTACCCCTCTCGCTAGGCACTGTGTTAGTTCTTTACATCTTAACTGGTCTAAAGACCGTCCCACTCACCACCACGGACGCAGGATCTCTGGGCAAGTGTATTTCATGACATTCTGAATGAATTCTGAGGCTCCAGCCGTGTAAGAACACCTGTCCTACCCTACAGGACTACCATCCCCAACTGTTAAACTTGCGTTTGGAGTTTCACGCAGGTACAGATACACGGCTCCATTCTTTTGGGGGATGGTGCCGTGGCCCAGATGGACATGAGATGTAGACATTCACAGGTTTCCCCCGCAATCTGAAAGTAGAGAGTGTTTCTATGAAAGGCAGAGCCGCAGAAAGCAAAGAAGCAATAACCATTAATGTATATGGAAAAAGTGTTGAGCCTTCCCAGACCCCCCATGTAACCTACCAAATGACGCACAGAACTTAAAGTCACACTGACATGCAGTCAGAGCAGTCCCACTCTCTCAGCGGGGTGCACCCTGCCTCTGTAACAGCTCGCTGAGGAACAAACATGGAATGCTATTTTTGCTTTTCCCCTTTTTTCGTAAAAGCAAACATCCTCTGGGATTTTTTTCCAGTTAGCGAAAACAGGTACGAGTGTGAGTCCTTTGTAAAATTGAGGTGGCGTAATGTGAACTTTCAAAAAGTGGGGGATAGCTGTACCAAGATATATCGCCACGATTTTCTTTCTCTTTCTGTCTGTCTGTCTCTCACTCTCTGTCTCTGTCTCTCTGTCTCTCTGTCTCTCTGTCTGTCTCTCTGTCTGTCTGTCTGTCTCTCTCTCTCTCTCTCTCTCTCTCTCACACACACACACACACACACACACACACACACACACACACACAGAGTGCCCTCCCAGGCTTGGCCAGTAGCCTGACGCATATGTTTGCAGTTAACATAAGAGCCCTCATACCCACAGACCCTTACTGCATCGCGCGGCTCTGCCTAACCTGTTTCAGCTTCCTCACAGTCCCCCAGGCTCCCTTCTCTTCTCTGCCTCAGGGGTCAAGAACTTGCTCCGGATAATGAAATCCAGTTGCCAGGTGCAGCCCAGCACCTCCCCTCCCCGCAGCCCCAGCTGCTGAGGCCCAGGCCCATCCATACAGAGCCAGGCTGCACACACAGTCGTCGTGGCCTCCTGGGAGAGGCTGGAGACCCAGCATTCAATAGCAATTGCCTCTTCAGCCAGGCTAGAGGACCACGGGCAGAGGGATGGGCCTGGACTTCGCCTTCCTTACTGGTGTGTAACAGTCTAATCCAACTCACCCTGGCACCTAGTAGAGACCTTATAACTCCCTATTGTAATAAGAGTACTATTGGCAGAGCACGCTCTCCAAGCACAGGGCTGGCTCGTGCTGTACGACCGGCATGCTTGTGCAGGGGCCTGCACCTGGTTTAATGCTCTGCTGTGGCCATCTCGAAATGCTCAGAGGCCCCACGTTCTCATTCTGCACTGGGCCCCACAAACTCTATAGCAGCTCCTGCTGAGCATCCTACATGTATTGATTTGAATCTTCACAACAACCCTTTGGGCAAGTACTAGCATCATCCTCACTTCAGAGATAAGGCAGTCAAAGAGAGGTGAAGTAACCTGCTTGGGGTCACACAGCAGCTTGGCTGAGCAGGATTTAAGGCAAACAGTCTGGCTGCAGAGTCTGTGCTCTTAACCCTTGTGCTTTGCCAACTCCAGGCAGGGGCTGCACCTTCTGGTTCACCGCCCACCACTCGGGTGCTGAGTATATTGAATGAACAAAACTCAAGAACAGGATGTTCTACTTTACACATCCATCTTTCCCTTTGATCCTCATGACAACACAGTGAGGTGCCAAGGGGAAGTACAAAATTAAGAGACAGAGCCAGTGAGGGTAGGGACTTGTCTAGGACCATGAGGAGCCGAGCCTCCAGGAGCCCGTTCCCGTCCTTCCCTCTCTCCCTCACCCATCCTTCCAGTGGTTCTGAACTCTAAGAGCAAGAAGAATGGTCTGGAGCCAAGGTCTGGGGAGGTACGCAGCTGCAGGAGGAGGCTAAGAGGCAAGGCAACACACAGGTTTGGCATCACGCAGACCTGGATTCCAGTTCCACTTCTGACACTCATTAGGCTAAAAAGACCCCAACCAAAGAAGACCAATCTTCAGGAAAATATCTGCTTCTCAGTGTCATTCACCTGGCAGGTGAAACTTTTTAACTCACCACACCTCTCCCACAATCAGTTGCTGTTGCTAAGCAACTGGAGGACCAGTAGACCAAGACCAAAGTGCTGACTAAGCACTCCTACCCCATGCATGACAAGCCTCCAGGCTTGGAGGCTCCTTCCTCTATGCTCAGCTCTTCACTCTCAGCCCATCCCTTCACAAAGTGCTTTCTTCCCTAGCAACCCGATCTGCTACTGCTGCAGGAACTTCTCCAGCTCTGCCCCAAGTGGGGCCCCTTCATGCGGGACGGTCCTTGCAGCCTGGAAGAGCTGTCCTCTCAATCCTTCCCTCTTGCCTAATTCTAATCTCCATCAGCCTCTAATAGCATGGCCCAAGCTCTGCCCCCAAGTCCCAGCCCCTTTTCCCCAACGCCAAGGTCTCCATTTGCCTGCCTAGGAGGTGGTGGGTGCCCAGAACAGGTGCCCGGGGCTCTAGAATTAAGCAAAGCTGGGTTTAGATCCTGGCTCACCACTTACCAGCTGCACAACTGTGGGTTAGTTCTTAGATCCACCGTCAGTTTCCTTGTCCGTCAAAGGAGGATAATAAGACAAGGAACACAAAATGCTGGGCATGGTAGTTGTTCCGGTGGTATTCTGATCCTAACCAGAAAGGCAGAGCCGTGTCATTCCCTTCCTGTGTAGCGCCCAACAAACTGCCTGGCTGCAGCCCCTTGTAACGATGGTGCCACCATGTGTATTGTGCTTTCTCACCTAGTGTGCCAACAGACAGAATGGGTTCTCTCATTCTCATTTGACCATGAGAGTAAACTGAGGCTCAGTAACAGGCCTGCCTAGAGAGGGGTTGGTACATTTCGTTCATGATGCAAATGATTTCAAGACTTTTCAAGGGTTTGGATGAGTGGGCTGGGGCACGATATGCAAAGATAGACCATGAGGTCCCCAGTGTAGTTCTTGAAATGACAGACCTGGCTCCCAATCCCAGCTAGGTGTAACAACTCTGAACCTCGATTTTCTCACCTGGAAAATGGGAAGCGTGCCCAAGTCATGCAGATTCGGCAAGGCCTAGGGAATGCTCGCTCCCCTTCAGTCATCCTACATCTTTAGAACTTCGGGGTTTATGTTCTTTAGTTTTTTCATAAAGGTCTTTAGGTTGGTCAATTATTTCTGACATATCACCCAAGGCCCTAGAATAGCAGTCTGCATCCTCTCAACAGTTCCTCAGCTAACACCTTTGATGAGTAACAGCTTTAACACATTTAACACATATAACATGGACTCGTGGAACAATGTTTGAGCTGGATGGGACCATGGAGATGACTTAGCCCCTCATTTTAAATGTCAAGAAATTGTCCAAGGCGAGTCACACATGGGTTAATGACCTGCTGGGGCCAGAACCCCAGGCTCTGGGCTCCAAGCTCAGTTTTTCCTCCATAGCACTAATTTGCTTTAATAGGTTGAGCTGCTTAGCCAGGCCCTACACTGGGGCATGAGGATGTGACTTTGGCTCTGAAATAACTCATCCTCTAGGCTGGTCTTGGGGGAAGATCTGGCAAACCTACGGAAAATCACTACAATACAAAGTGGTAAACTAAAACAGAAAGTATTTATGACAAACGAGTAGAAAATAAAGCCAAGTTAATTAATTTTATGACCACTGTCATCGTCATCTTGAGGTGGGACTGGCCAGAGACTGTTCGGTTCCTCTGGATTTGTCTGCTGCAGTGGTTCTCAACAATTGGCAGCAAGGATGGGGTGTCCCTCAGGGAACATTTGGCAATGTCTGACTCTGTCTGGGAGGGGGTGCTACAGGCATCTAGTAGGAAGAGGCCAGGGATGCTGCTAAAAATTCTACAATGCACAACAAAAAATATATATGACCTAAAATGACAGTAGTGTGGAGGTGGAGAAACCTTCGTTTACTCACAAATGGGGCAAAAGAATCTTTGCTGTTACACTGGTTTGTAACACTCCAAAGGGCCATAGTATATCTGTGTTATTAAAATTTCATGGTGCGGCGGCTCTTGGGAAAAAATGT